ATTCATCAGTATCCTCAGGTTCTGAGTGTGGAGAGTCTGACTGGACGCTGTTACTGGGAGGTTCAGTGGAGTGAAGGAGCTGAAATATCAGTGTCATACAGAGGAATCAGGAGGAAAGGAGACAGGACTGAATGTGTGTTTGGATTCAATAATCGGTCCTGGAGTCTGAACTGCTCTAATAACAGATACTCTGTCTGATACAATGAACAGGACATGGCCCTACCTGCCCCCCCACCCCCAACAGAGTAGGACTGTACCTGGACTGGGGATCCGGCACCATTTCTACACCATCTCCCCTAACATATACACACTGACCCACCTACACACATTCACCACCACATTCATTGAACGGCTCTACGGGGGATTCTGTATTTATTCCAACTCCTCGGTGAGTCTGTGTGAGATTCAATAACATCTACAGAGAAAAAGAGAAATAGAGAGAAAGAGAGACAGAAAGAGAGAGACAGGCAGACAGACAGACACAGAGAGAGCAGGTTGGTGAAAATGTGTTTGTTTATCAGCTTGATCTCAGACTGTAAATATGAGAGAAATCAAACCATTCTGTGGTTAAATTATTCAAAATAAATGAAAAGAGAATAAAAATGAATTGTTTTCTTTGTTTTCTCTTTTTTCTCGAAAATGTGAATCCAGAAAAAGATTCACTAAACAGAACAGAATCACACAGATTAACTGTTACAGAAACACACACATTTATCACATGGAGAGATTGGGAGTACACAAACACACTACACAAACACACACAATACACACACACCTTGATATTTTTTACTGTATTGATGTTTATTTGCATTTATTCTAATTATATGTTTGCACTTTTCTTAACTTATTGTGATCAGACACCTTCAATGAAGTAACGTAATGAGTAATAAATAATGGCACTAAAAGTTCTGCTGAGAAACACGGCTATTTCACAGATTTTTGTATTTGCATGGCTACTTAGGAAAAATGGTGAATGCTACGTGTGGAGACTCGTAGCTCACCTGGTATGAGCAGATCAATGAAGTGAAGTTTTCAAAGTGCAAAATATACATTTTTTTAAAGGATTTTTTTAACTGGGAAAAATAATTTATCAAATATAGTGAGAAATGTAGTAAAGTCAGACTTTTCTTTCCCAAATTATACTTTCTCAGATGATCCAATGTGCTGCTCTATATGTGAATATATGAACAATATACTGCATTGTTACGTGTCAGTGCCTGTGCACATGTGTGTTTGTTTTTTTGTTTTCTCTCCTCTCTGTTGCTCTTCTCCTGCTCTTTTGGCTGACTCTTTTCCTCATAGGTTGCGAGTTTGTCTTCAGCCCTGAGCATCATGTGACTGCTGTCCCAGCTCTTGGCTCATTTGTTTGGTTTCTGGCTTGCTGTTGTCTTGGCTCTCTTAGCCTTTGCTAGCTTTAGCCTTTGCTAGCTTGCTTTAGCCTCTGCTTGCTAGCTTTAGCATTCGTTAGCTTTTTTTGTTTGTCTGAGTGTACTGGCTTTAAAGTCTCTTAAACTGGTGCTTTTCTCCCAGGAAGAAGGGCAGGTTAGACTGTGTGTGCACCTACATTCACATCAGTAGGTATATGATTGTCTAAACACACTAGATTAGAGGCAGGTACCACTCCCTGTATGTTTTAGTAGTTTAGACTAGATCCTTTTGGTTTATTTCTTTTCTTTTGGTACTCTCTGTAGTTCCCTCCTGGGTAGATTGCCCAGCTTGCCAGTACCACTGTAACAACTTTACTTCAGTACCCTGTTAACTTGTTTGTGTGTGTTTTTTTGTCTGTATAATTAAACTGATACAACTTTAGCTGCTTTATACTGGTCTCTGTACCACTTTATTGTGCTCCTCCATCCTTTAGTTACTGTCCCTCCCTCCTCCTAGACCTGAGCCTATGGTTGGGATGTAACATGCATATATACCTGATATGTATTTATAAAAAAATAAAAATAAAAAAAACTCTGCAGTGTGTATAGTGCTGTGGTTCCTTTGAGTGACTCCCAAAAATACAAAAAGCTGAAGGTCAGATTTGATCCAGGAACCACCTCTTTTCCACAGAATTAACACAATGTAGTGAGTGAACACACTGAGCTACAGTGATTGTGTGTTCAACTTACACTTCTTGATGTGCAATCTTCTTTTCTAATGGGATTGAAATAAAATTATTGAACTTTGAAGCAATATATTTAATATGCAAACTAAATATTTAAAGGTATTAAGCCAAGAATTAAACTGATGTAGCCCAACTTCAATGCTGTGGCCTAGACTGGCATTTGTGTGTTTTAGTTCATTTTACTTTTCATTTTTTCATAAAAGCTTAATTTTCGCTCTGCTTCATGATGCAGTAAGTTCCACTTTATCTACTGAAATTACTGTTAAACTTTATTTTGGCAATTTAATTATTTAATTGCAGACAGATTAAACTTAATCTTAATAATGTAACTGCCTTGGGCTATTTGCTAACTGTCATTAGCAAATAACAGAATGTCTATGCAGGTGGAGTGTTTGTAATAGCAGGTGATTTCAACCAAGCAAATTTCAAGGCGATGCTCCCCAAATTCTATCAACATGTCCAGTGTCCCATGAGGAAAAAGACATATTGGACCATGTATATAGCAACCTCAAACATAGGTTCAAAGCATCACCTCTCCCACATCTTTGTTGGTCTGACCACATCTCTCTGTTTCTGATTCCAGCATACAGACCGCTTATTAACATAATCAAACTAACTGTGAGAGACATTCAAGTGTGGCCAGAGGGAGCTTCTGAGCAGCTCCAGGACTGTACTGTTTTATATAATAAACTGCTTGGACCTCACCAAAACAAAACAAATCCATGTCATTCCCAACAACAAGCCATAGATGACAAGGGATGTTGAGCTCCTTTTAAGGGCCCGCAACAAGGCCTTTCACAACAGCTGTATAGTGCAGCCAGATCAGACCTGAAGAGGGGCATTAGAGATGCCAAAGCAGCCTACAAGCAAAAAATTGAGAGCCACTCTGACAGCTCAAATCCTCGCTGTGCATGGCAAGGTATACGTCATATCATCAACCAAAACAATAATACCAACCCAGCCACCAAAAGCAGCAGTTTCTTACTGGCAGAGCAGTTCAACCGCTTCTTTGGCCACCATGAGAAAGTGAGACCAGAGACTACCATGACCACCACTCATGCTCCAGATGCCAACAGCAAGGTACTCATAATACAGCCTGCTGACGTCATAAGCACACTCTTGGAAGATCAACATGCGGAAAGCAGCTGGCCCAGATGGTGTTTTGGGACGGGTTCTCAGAGACTGTGCTGTGGGACTAACTGATGTATTTACAAATATATTCAACTGATCCATGTCACAGTGCACTGTCCCTACCTGCCTAAAGACATCCACCACAGTGTGAGTTCCAAAGCAGGCTGCAGTAACCTGCCTGAATGATTACAGGCCAGGGGCATTAACACCAGTAATCATGAAGTGTCTGGACAGATTGCCTGAAGTACATCAAGGCTGCTCTCCCGCCTACACTAGGCCCTTAACAATATGCATACAGACCCGACAGGTCTACAGATGATGCCATTTCCACTGTCCTCCACGCTGTACTGCTCCACCTGGAACAGCGAGGAAGTTTTTAAACACGGTGTCCACTCACTTTCCACTCTATTAGAAACTCCTACCTTGTCGGTCCACCTTGTAGATGTAAAGTCAGAGACGATAGCTCATCTGCTGCTGCACAGTTTGTGTTGGTCATCCTATTCTCAGTCCAGCAGTGACACTGAGGTGTTTAAAAACTCCAGTACCACTGCTGTGTCTGATCCACTCAGACCAGTGCAACACACACTAACACACCACCACCACATCAGTGTTACTGCAGTGCTGAGAATGATCCACCATCCAAATAGTACCTGCTCTGTGAGGGTCCATGGGGGTCCTCACCACTGAAGAACAGGGTAAAAGGGGGCTAACAAAGTATGCAGAGAAACAGATGGACTACAGTCTGTAACTGTAGAACTACAAAATACACGTATATAGTAAGTGGAGCTGATAAAATGGACAATGAGCGTAGAAACAAGAAGGTGGTCATAATGTTATGCCTGATCGGTGTATACGTATGTATATATTTTGAGCATCATTTCAGGTAGTGCACCTGAATTTCGTGGTAGGTAAACATGCAATGACATTAAAAGTAAATATAAACTAATTTAAACAAACTGGGATGGCCAGAGGGGTGACCAAGCCCCAAACATTTGGCATAATACTCTGTGCATTGATGAGTCAAAGATGTAACTTTTGGTGGTGTAAAGCTAATACTGCATTCCACCATAAGAACATCATACCAACAGTCAAACATGGTGGTGGTAGTGTGATGGTGTGGGACTGTTTTGCTTCTGCAGTATCTGCACAACTTGTCATAAGTAATGGAACAATGAATTCTGCTCCCTATCCAAAATTCCTGAAGGAAAATGTCCACCCATCAGTTTGTGACCTAGGGTTCACGTGCAGATGGGTTATGCAGAAGGACAATGATCCAAAGTATGCAAGCAAATCCACCTCTGAATGTCTCAAAAGAAATGAAATTAAGGTTTTGGCGTACCCAAGTCAAAGTCCTGACTTGATTGCCATTGAGATGCTGTGACAAGACCTTAAACAAGTAGTTCTTGTTCGAAAACCCTCAAATGTAGCCGAATTAAAACAATGCTCCAAAGAAGAGTGGGCCAGAATTCCTCCACAGCTGTAAAACACTCACCGCAAGTCATCACAAACATCTAATTGCAGTTGTTACTGCCACAGGTGGCACAACGAGTTATTAGATTTAGGGGGGCAATTACTTCGACACATGGATGATATCATATTACTACAGTTCACATAATTTTTTATGCAAATACACTCTACTTACGAAAAAGAGTATGTAAATGTCCTCCCATTAATAGTTTTGTAAGTTGATGCCTTTATTCTTCTGACTGCCTGTACGCAGACTTATTGGCGGTGGTTTAAATAAACAAAGCTGTGCTTGCAGCGTGACATGATCTATTCTTTTTTCAAAAAAAGAATAGATCATGAAATTTAATAGGACTTTTTTCAAGACCATAAAAAATAATCTCAACAGGTTAACACCTTCACAAATACATACATTACCTCACATGCAAAGGCTTAACAGAAGCTAAAAGAAAATAAATCAGCAGGCTAAAAGATAAAAAGAGAAGGATAAAGAGCCAAGCACACAGTCAAATGTGTGTGAAAGCATCCACCATCGCATCAGAAACACTATAATAGCTTAGATCTACTAAATTAGAAAGTAAAAAGCCTCTGATAGTTGAATGTGGGGCTCAATCGTTCTCCACATATAATACAAATAAAACTCATTTTGGGGAGAATATGCAGTACCACTGCTTTAGGCTTGACTTGGTGTTCAGCTCAGGAAATTCCATTTCATTTTATGCATACATTTTAAAACAAGTGTAAAACAACAAGAGGTGTTTTTCCCCAAATACAGAATCACCAAATCATCATTTCCTGCAGACTTTTATACCCAGAATGTATTAAGGCTACACTCCTTACTGCTGATTTCCACCACAGCTCTTAGTGCACTTGTGTGTCTTTACAGTCTTTGAATGCCTGAAACTCTGTCCACAGTCTGAGCAGTGATACGGTTTCTCTCCTGTGTGAGTGCGCTGGTGTGTTTTGAGAGAACTCTGTACTGTAAAACTCTGTCCACACTCTGGGCAGTGATACGGCTTCTCTCCTGTGTGAGTGCGCCGGTGTGTTTTGAGAGCACTCTGTCCAGTAAAACTCTGTCCACACTCTGAGCAGTGATACGGTTTCTCTCCTGTGTGAATGCGCTGGTGTTTTTGGAGATTACTCTGTTCAGTAAAACTCTTTCCACACTCTGAGCAGTGATACGGTTTCTCTCCTGTGTGAATACGCTGGTGGTTTTGGAGATTACTCTTTTGAGTAAAACTCTTTCCACACTCTGAGCAGTGATACGGTTTCTCTCCTGTGTGAATTCGCTGGTGTGTTTTGAGCGCACTCTGTACTGTAAAACTCTGTCCACACTCTGAGCAGTAATACGGTTTCTCTCCTGTGTGGATGCGCTGGTGATCCTGGAGAGTACTTTGTCGATTAAAACTCTGTCCACACTCTGAGCAGTGATACGGCTTCTCTCCTGTGTGAATGCGTTGGTGGTTTTGGAGATTACTCTTTTGAGTAAACCTCTTCCCACACTCTGAGCAGTGATACGGCTTCTCTCCTGTGTGAATGCGCTGGTGTTTTTGGAGAGCACTCTGTACATTAAAACTCTGTCCACACTCTAAACAATGATATGGTTTCTCTGCTGTGTGAATTCGCTGGTGTACTTTGAGAGCACTCCGTACAGTAAACCTCTTTCCACACTCCAAGCAGTAGTGATTTCTTCCCTTGCTGCATTTCTGTGTTTGTCTGTGAGATGTGTTCATGTGGAGGGTGCCGGATGCCATATTCTTATATAATCATCCGTTTCAGCAGCTTAACTTTCCTGGTTGTGGAATGTCCTGATGTGTTTACGGAAGCAAATTTAAGCTAAGCAAGAAAGTGCAGGAGAAGTACTGAAACAGGACATCATTCATTTCTGGAAAAAAAAGAAAATATAAACTTAATGTGCATTGCAACAGCAAAGTGTAAAGAACGAATAAACTTTCATCTGATGTGGAAAAACCAATAGTCTTAATTACTCAAATTCCTTAAATACACACACAGACCACCACAGACCATAGAACACAAGTTGTGTCGCAATGCCAATATTGGAAATTATAGGGCAAGATCTGGAAGCAAAACCCCAACCTCACTACCATAGACCTGCAGGAAGATTTAGCTAACATGGGAACAGTGATGCATTGGCCTACTGTGCTGTATTGTTGCACAAACATCACATGGAAAGATGATCAGATTGTAATCTTAACTGTGATCTCATGACAAATTTAAACATCTAAAGTGTGCAAACAACTCGTAGATAAACCAGAGGCATTTTGGAATCAAGTGCTGTGGCTAAATGAAACAAAAATTGAACTCTTTGGCTGCAACCTCCATTAACTGAGAAGGTGCCCAAACCAATTTCTGGAAAAATAAAAATAACAATCTTTGATTTGTTAATTCTCTTGAACCTTTAACTGACAAAGGTACAAAGAAATGATTTTTTATGTTTTGGCTGACTAACTGGATTGTGTTTTGTAATTTACAAGCAAATTTTGAAATTCCTGCCTGCAACAATTCAAAATTGCTGCCTGCACTTAAAAAAGTTGGGACAGAGGCAAAATGGGGGTGAAAAGTTTATAGAATTTAGAGAATATTCAAGTTACACCATTTTTGAAACATTCCACAATAAGCAAGTGAGTTAGTAACAGGTGAGGGTATCATGATTGGGTATCAGGTTCCACAAAAGGCTCAGTGGTTGCAAGTGAAGATGGGTTGTGGCTCACCACTTCGTGTCATACTTTGTGATAGAACCATGCCAGGCCTCATTCTGCACATGCTAAAACCGCATGGCTTCATAAACACAGAGTGTGTGTGCTTGACTGGCCTGCGTGCAGTCCAGATCTGTCTCCTATAGAAAATATATGGCATATCATGAAAAGGAGAATCACGCAACAACAACCACAGACTGTTGAGCAGCTGAGGTCTTGTATCAAGGCAAAAATTCCACTTGCAGTGCTGCTACTAATAATAGCCTCAGTTCGCAAATGATCAAGTGCAATAAAAAAAAGAAAGGTGATATAATACAGTGGTAAACATGCCTCTTTCCCAATTATGGGGTTCCCGAGTGGCGCAACCGTCTAAGCGTTGGCCCTATCATCAGGAGATCGCGAGTTCGATCCCTGGTGATGCTACAGCTATCCGTAGCCGGGAGTCCGAGAGAGCACAATTGGCCTCACTCTCTCTGGGTGGGTGGGATGGCCCCTCCATCACTCCCCATCACTCAGCGCGGGCGCAGGCGTCTGTTAACTGACCTAACAGATCTGGCGGTTGGCGCTTTCCTCCGAGCGCGTTCGGCTGTCCAATGATGTTGCGTGAGCGGCAGCTCGAAAAGATGCGGTGGTTGGCTTCACAGGTCTCGGAGGAAGCCTGTGTTAGCCTTCGCCCTCCTAGCGTTGATAGCACCGTGTGATTGGGGGAGTCCTAACTAACTAGCGGGTGGAATTGGAGACGACTAAATTAGGGAGAAAATCGGGTAAAAATTAAGACAATTATGTTGGCCAGTGAAAACTCTGGAAATCTTTTCTTTGTAATTATGTGAGTTGAATAAAGGTTCATGAGAGAATTAATTACATTCTTGTTTTTATTGCATTTTACAACACGTCCCAACTTTCTGAAAATGGGGTTTGTAGTAAATTCTGCAAATAAATCTTGCATTTAAATTTGTAGAAACATGTGTTTGTTTATTCCATGCTGGTTTTGTATTCATTTTTCATTTGGACAATCAAAAAATGTGTAATTTGACCAAAACTTTCCTAAACTTTCACATGACTGTTTAAAGGAAGATGCACATTGTGTTTGTTCTCTATTTCTCTTTTGTCTTCTGTGTTAAACATGAGAGATTTAGTATTGTGGACTGGAATTCTTTTTCCATAATCCAAAGTAATGTATGTAGATTCCAAAACCATTAAAATTAAACTGTTAAATGACTAATAGGCATAAATATAGATAGGAAATATTTCACAAATCAGAAAAGTAAATGTGTTATATTGATACATGATCAGTTATCAAATTTATATGCATTAATGTTCTTCATTTGCCCCAAAAACTTAACTCCTGTATTACTACACATTAAAATATGAGCAGAACTGTAAAAATGACTGAAATATACCAAACTATGTTTGTGAACGTTTTCACAAATCAGGTAATACCAACACTGCATGATTATTGGTAGTGTACATATATTAAATTGTGTTCAAAAGTTAAAACCACATATTTTCATCTTTATTATGCAAAAGCCTTTTAATCGATGACTGACAAAATTCTAGCCTGTTTTCATCTCCTTACATGTGTATTACTGGGTAAATAATAGAAATACTTAATTCTGAATGCACAGTAATGGAAATAGTTCTGAATAAAGCAATAAAGTATCACAAAATCTGTTTGTGAATAGTTTCACAACTTAAGCAGTACGTATAAGTGAATTTGCAGGGTTATTGACAATGTGTGTATATGAAATTAAACTCCAAAATCAGACTTATTCCTGAGGAGACACAAATCGAGTTCTGCTAAATCAAACACAGTTTCATCCATTTTAATGTCATTTGTATTGAAAATCACCTGATCAGTTTCCTTTCTCGCGGTCCACTCAGACCACGGAGCAAAATAAGAGCTGAGATTTTTCACTGATCAGTCCGGACAGTTTGAACCTGGTTTCATTCGTCTGAGAGCTCAACTTCTGAAGTTATAAGCTTTAGAATATTGGCGGGTTTTAGCGTGGAAAATGACGTCATCTGAATTCACAAAAATCAGGACTAACAAAACGCAGCGGAGTGTGCAGATGTGCGTTACTGCGTTCCGGAGTTCCAGCTGACAGAATCAGAACCACTAACCGACTTTACTGCAGCAGCTCCTCCTCTAAATCACTGCAGGATGAGCAGCGTTTCCATCAATGAGGCTCTAACAGACATTTAAAGACCCTCATCAGTCAGTTAGACCGACATATAAGGACTGAAACCAGCTTAAAGCAGCACTTACAGCTCTTTAATCTCAGACTGAGTCTCCGTTTCAGAGTCTCCCCCAAACACAACGCGCTGTGTGAAGACAACAGTAGCGAGCGGAGTCCGACCACAACCGGGAGGGTGTTTTTCAAAATAAAAGTTTCTAGCGTTAAATACGTTTTAGTTAATATTAATAAATAAACATTTTAGAAATTCATTTTCTAAAAATGTTTAAAACACTTTATGGTTTTACATTAAACAAGCGTCACTGCACATGTAGGAGTTTCTCATACTATGACTCTGAAATGCCAAAAGCTACACCCTCCAACCACTCCAGGCCAGTACCAAAACTCCCTCTTGCACCAAAGATGAATCTGGCTACCTGTTTTTTCGTCTTGCTTGACTTCTTCACCCTTGTCTTTAACCCTTTCTTACCTTCTACGGTGGGTTGTATTTTATCTATGAGACGATCATCATCATCATCTCTCCTTGCATGCTTGCCCTGACCTTTCTTTTGCTTCAATTTAGACCTTATTTCTTTTTAGACGTCCTGTCTCTCTTCTCTTCCTTTCCTGGCTGCTTGTGTTTTGCTGACTGCTGCTGCCTGAATGATGCAGATGCAACCGCGGTACCAAGAACATGGCAAATCCTCCTACCATTGAATGGAAACAAAGTGTATTATGTGGGTAAAATAGAAAAGTAATATGACATTGTTTACAGTGCTCCAGCAGGTTAGCACAGTCTGCAGCTGAAGAAAACCTTTTCCTGCTTCCTCAATCGTCCGGCTCCGGTTGTGACTGTTTTCTGTATTGGTAAACAGCAGTAGACAACATCTAGTTTGTTACTGTGTTTAAGTAGGTCAGGATCTACAATCCATTTCATTTTCTATCAGAGTGTTTCTACTCTAAAAATTTCATTGCTAACCATACAACTATGGTAACCTGGTGCTGTGAGGCAAACAAAGTCTGGCTCTCTCTCTGGAGTTTCAGCTTCAGTTTCCCTACAGAGGGCAGATGCACCTGGAGCAGAACTAAAGCCAAACTTTGTAGATGGGAATCACCAAACAGCATACCAAACTAAGAAAAAAGGTCAAATGAAAGAAAGAGGTAGTGTTGAAAGGATGAACTATTTTATACTGTCATATGCACAAAACAATCGTGCACAAACAGACTCTAACCATTGCAGTATATGGTTCTTTCCGCTTAGTGACTTTGTCAGTGTGTTTGTTTAACCATTTCCAAACCTCTGCTTGAGGAAACCCAGTGTTGTGGTTTTCATTCAGCACCCATTCTAGCTAAGCAGTACTTCATTAGCATATTGTTGTTGTTGGAAACAAACTTGTATCTCCAAAATAGTAGCTTTACAGGAGAAGGAAAAATATTCTTAACTTGTAATGGAAGAAGTTATTTTTTTTCAAGTAATTTTGGTCCATTACAATTGTTTCATTTAGCATCAAATTTTAACACAGTAAAAAGTAAAATGTGGCAAAAATGGAGATACAAGGTTTTTACGTGATGGCAGTGGTAAACAAGAGAGTAAGAATGTAAATTTCATTAACGAGTAATATTCTCAAAGGGGTCCCTTTATTAATTAGAATTAGTTTTAACATCTGCAGCCAGTCAAAAATCTAAAAGCAATGCAGCCAACATACTTTCCATTACTCTATTATGGATTCCATTTTGAAAGTGTTTTGTTGAAGAGATGAACTACTTTATCAATCATATTTGCAAAACCTGTGCTGAGGTATATGGAGTCTTCCGCTAGGCACATAAAGTACTATGCAAAATGTTTAGGCACCTGAGAAACTGATTCAGTCAATTAATTAATTCAGTTATTTGTAATTAAACAGTTATTTATCTAGACAGTAAGGATTTATTTGAAAAAAAAAAACTAATATGAGAATAAATACAAATAACATTAATAACAATGCTTAGTGATTTTACGTATGTCAGTGTGTTTATTTAACCATTTCCAAACCTGTCCTCATGGAAGCCCAGTATTACTTATGGTTATCATTCAACCACAAATTTAGCTAATCAGTACTTCAGTATGTTAAAGGGCCCCACATCAAACACTTTTCGTGTAAAATAGTAGAAAGACAATGTATCAAATGTTGAAACGTCTTTTAACAACATTCTGTAAGTGTTTGGGAACTGAGGAGACACTGCTTTAGTTTTTAAAGTGAAATGTTTTCCCATTCTTGTTTGATACAGGATTTCAGCTGCTCAACACTTCGAGGGGAGGGGTCATTTGTCGTATTCTTCATTTCATAATGTGCCAAATGTTATCAGTGGGTGACAGGTCTGGGTTGCAGGCTGGCCAGTTTAGCACCTGGACTCTTTTAATACAGAGCAATGCTGCTGTAATACATGCAAAATTTGGTTTTACATTGTTTTGCTGAAATAAGCAAGGCTTTCCCTGAAAAACACGTCGTCTGGACGGCAGCATATGTTGCCAAAACCTATATATATTGTTCAGAATTAATGACGCCTTCACAGATGTGCACGTCACCCATACCATGTGCACTAATGCACCACAATACCATCATGAATACTGGTGTTTGAACACTGATAAACTGAGTGGTCTTTAGCCCTGCGTGTCCATGATTTCCAAAAGGAATTTGTGGATGCAGTGATGAACTGTTTTCACAGACAGCGGTTTTCAGAAGTGTTTCTGAGCCCATGCAGTGATTTCCACTGCAGAATCCTGTCTGTTTTTAATGCAGTGCTGCCTGAGGGCCCAAAGATCATGGCCAGCAAATACTGTTTTTTCGGTCTTGTCCCTTACATACAGAGATTTCTCCAGATTCTCTGAATCTTTTAATATTATGTACCATAGATGATGAAAAGCAAAAGTTCTTTGCTATTTTACATTGAGAAACATTATTCTTGAATTGTTGCACTATTTGATCGTGCAGTCTTTCACAGAGTCATGTTACGCACCTGTTGCCAATCAATCACCAGGTGATTTTTTAGCATTACACAAATTTACCAGCCTTTTGTTGCCCTGTCCCAACATTTCTGGTTCTTGGCATCAAATTCAAAATGGGTATATATTTTCAAAAAAACAATGACATTTCTCAGGGTCTTAAAAAAGGTCCTCAGGAGTGCCCCTGCAAACGACCTCAGTCTCCTAAGCAGGTAGGGTCTGCTCTGGCCTTTCCTATAAACTGCACTAATGAAATGTGACCAGTCCAGTCTATTGTTGAGGTGAAATCCCAGATACTTGTAAGAGTCCACTCTCTCAATGTCCATTCTCTGAATGCTCAGTGGTGGTGACTGTGCCTGCGGAAATCCATCACCATCTCTTTGGTCTTCCCTGCATTGATCACGAGGTGGTTCCTCAGACACCAGTCCACAAAGTCCTGGGTTGGTTCTCTGTCTGTCATTCTTATCTGTAATGAGTCCAATGATTGCTGAGTCATCAGAGACCTTCTGTAGATGGCAGTTCAGTGAGCTGTACATGAAGACTGCAGACTGTTTCCTGCAAGGCCCCTGTACTACTGACCACCATGTCAGACACACAATTCTGTGCCCTCACATACTGTAGTTGGTTGGTGAGTTAGTCCAGAATCCAATTTGGTAGGCGGTGGTCCACCCTCTGTCTTCTCCAGCTTGTTCCTCACGAGCCTAGGCTGTATGGTGTTAAAAGCACTGGAGAAATTAAAGAGCAAGATTCTGACAGTGCTCCCAGGCTTCTCCAGGTGAGAAAGAGCTTTGTAAAGAAGGTAGATGGCCGCATCATCCACTCCAATGCCAGGTTGATGGGCAAACTGAAGTGGGTCCAGAGGTGAGCTCACCAGAGGGCGGAGATGGGCAAGGACTGGCACTAAAGAGGGGGCTGAATGTGGGAGGGGGGTTGGCAGTACACTGGGAGTGCAGAAGAGGGGGGTTGCAGCAGGGGTAACTGTGTAGAGGGAGGTAAGTGATCAAATCAAATCTTAAAAAAACAGATCGAGATTGTTCACCAACTTTTGGTCTTCTACAGCCTGGGGGTTGGGTTCCTTGTGGCCAAATATTGTTTTAATGCTTTTCCAGACCCCACTGACATTGTTTTTCTGGAGCTGTTCCTTCCTCTTCTTTCTGTAGCTCACTTTTCCCTCCTAGATTTTTCCTCTCAGTTCCCTCTGCACAGCTCTCAGCTCCTCCTTGTCTCCTGATCTAAAGGCCCTCTTTTTCTCCTTCAGGAGTGCCTTTTATATCAGGGTTAATCCAAGGTTTGTTGTTGGAGAAACACTGAACACTCTTGGTGGGTACAGTGTTCTCCTTGCAGATATATAGTTGGTTATACAGAGTGTGAGACTGTCAGTGTCCTTCCCATAAGGATCACAAAGTTCTTCCCACACTGTTGTGTGTGATCCTTATTAATGATCTACAACTGACTATAACTTGCACAACACTAAACTAACAATACATTAAAAATTAAGAATTAGTCTTTGCAGTGTTTCTAGTGTTTTAGAAATCACATTTTCTCTCCAAAACCTCAAGCTCACTTGGAAGCTTTGAGACTCAAACAAAAATATATACACGTATATAAATTCCTATGGGATTATAAAAATACTTAACAATAGATATATCTTCCTGAACTACTTTTTTACACATCAGTTTAACATCTTTCACACTGCCATGTTGTTTCCTCATAAGGAACAGCATATGGTGTCATTCCAAGGTGTGTGATAAGAGTACCACCATATTAAAATTTTATATTCGAGCATTTTAAGATTTTACCATAATAATGATTTTCTGAACCAACTAACATGGTACTTAGCGAATATATCAAATAAGTTTGGAATCACCTTTCATCATTAGGTATCAATATTTTTAATTTGTTGATTTAATCTCTTTAATTCGGTTTTGTTTCAGGTCGAACTGTTTTCCACCACAATCGAACGCATCACAGTGCCAGAGAATGTGCTTCGATTTGGTGCGGAGACTCACGTGCAGTTTTAATCTCTATTCATATCTTGATTCTCACTGCAACGTATTTAATTTTGCTTTATTTCAGGTCGAACTGTTTTCCACCACAATCGAACGCATCACAGTGCCAGAGAATGTGCTTCGATTTGATGCAGAGACTCACGTGCAGTTTTAATCTCTTTTTATATCTTGATTCTGGCGGCAACGTCTTTATTTTGGCTTTATTTTATGGGAGACAAATCCAGCCAAAAAAAAAATTTAAATGAAAACAATAAAATGTAAATGCAAACCTCTTTTTGCCATTTCTTTTTCCAAACATCTGCGCAAATATCCTGCCAAAATTGAAAATGAAGTGAAATACCTACATTCGCAATTTCATTTTTCACATGACCATTTTTGACAAAAATAAAAAAAAATTTAAAACAGCTATTTGTTATTTCATTTTAGTCGTTATTCTGGTTTTTCAGGGCCAAATCTAAAATGAAAAAGCTAATAGAGAAAAGAAAATCCAAGCTTCTCTTTGGCTTTGGCTTTTCTCCGTGAAACGCAGAATACGTGTCAAAACTAAAATCAAAACGCAATGTTCACGTTCTTATTTCTTTTTCACAGCAGTCGGCTGCATATCTGACAAAATGAAAATGCCAAATGGATAAATCAACAGCAAAGTGACCGTTTGTGATTCAGTTTTCAGCGCAGACGCACTTTGGGTGTTGGAATGAAAAGGCAAATGCAAACGAAGGTCGGCGCCACCTGCTGGAGATTTACTTTACATTTTCCACTTTTTGGCATCATTCCTTTACATTTTCCACTTTTCGGCATCATTCCTCAAGCTAAACGACTTCGAGTCTCGAGAAAAACCATCATCATGACTCAGATCTGGTGAAACTGAACGTCAGAACAAACACCGTCAGAAAAAACTGGAAATGTTATACTGGCATTTATATCGTGATACATAATAGTATCCTAAGTTATACCAACCAGTATGTGTTCGACCAGGCTTGCGTTTGGTCTGATACCTTTTCTCTGAGGCTGTTTGGTCTGACGGCGTTTGGTCTGACGTTCAGTTTCACCAGATCTGAGTCATGACGATGTTTTTTCTCGAGACTCGAAGTCGTTTAGCTTGAGGAATGATGCCGCTCTGACTCGGAGGTCTGAGGATGTCCTAAAATGTACCCCGTAGCCCCGCCTAGTGCTAATTAACATATATTTGCATGTTGGTCAGTTTGAAAACGAAATCGAAAAGTGGAAAATGTAAAGTAAATCTCCAGCAGGTGGCGCCGACGTTCGTTTGCATTTGCCTTTTCATTCTGACACCTAAAGTGCGTCCGCGCCGAAAACTGAATCACAAACTGTCCATTTGCTGTTGATTTATCCATTTGGCATTTTCATTTTCATTTTGTCAGATATGCAGCCGATTGCTGTGAAAAAGAAATAAGAACGTGAACATTGCGTTTTGATTTTAGTTTTGACACGTATTCTGCGTTTCACGGAGAACCAAAGCCAAAGAGAAGCTTGGATTTTCTTTTCTCTATTAGCTTTTTCATTTTAGATTTGGCCCTGAAAAACCAGAATAACGACTAAAATGAAATGACAAACAGCTGTTTTACATTTATTTTTATTTTTGTCACAAATGGCTCATACTCATGTGAAAAATGAAATTGCAAATGTAGGTATTTCATTTCATTTTCAGTTTTGGCAGGATATTTGCGCAAATGTTTGGAAAAAGAAATGGCAAAAAGAGGTTTGCATTTACATTTTATTGTTTTCATTTTAATTTCTTTTTTGCCTCCCATATTATTTCAGGTCGAACTGTTTTCCACCACAATCGAACGCTTCTCAAAGTCAAAGAATGTGCTTCGATATGGTGCGGAGCCGCTCATGCACTTTTAATCTCTTTTCATATAGTCGCATGTGCACTTTTCATCTCTTATCATATCCTGATTTTCCCAGCAAAATCTTTAATTTGGCTTTATTTCAGGTGGAGCTGTTTCCCACCACAATTGATGTGTAACAATATCAAATAACGTATGGCCATGCGTTGCATACCAGAAGGTGCACATTTTATCTCTTCTCATTTCTTGATTCTCGCGGCAACATCTTTCATTTGGCTTTATTTCAGGTCAAACATTTTCCCACCACAAACACTTCTCAATGACAAAGAATGTGCTTCGATGAGGTGCTTAGTGGCAGGTGCACTTTTTATCTTTTTCATGTCCTGATTCTCGCAGCAACGTCTTTAATTTGGCTTTATTTCAGGTCGAAAACACTCCTCAAAGACCACAACACCGCCTACAGGTCTGGGTACAGATCCTGCCAGGACCAACCTGAAGAAAGGCAATAGGGAGGCCAAAGCACACTACAAGAGAAAACTGAGGATCACCAACAACATCTATCATTCCACCTTGTCTGAAATCTGCCACAGTTATTCCACTCCCAAAGAAGTCTGTCATCAGTGATCTCAGTGACTACCGTCTTATTGCACTCACACCCGTCATAATGAAGTGCTTTGAGAGGCTGGTCCTGCAGCACATCAAAGCCAGCCTCCCACCAAGCTTTGACCCACACCAGTTCACCTACAGGGTAAACAGGTTCTATGTATGTGTGTGTGTAAAGAAAACAAATTTAAATCAACAATCAATATGTGCTTGTCACAGTTTTACAAAATAAACCACTTCGACTTTCAAATCTCCAAATCACATGCTTCAGTTGGCTGTGGCTAGCTAAGCAAATCCAGTCAAATGCTGAATGTGGGCTATACATCACATGACATTTCACGCTGGATGGCGTCCTTTTCCTCATTTACCTCCAACTGCGCAATGCAGAATTGTCTCTTGAATCAATTCTTTCCATGTAAGAGAATAATAATAAGAGATTCAGTTTAGTTATCTGGTCTTAAAGATGAGAAGAGATGAGGATTGGCTTAGTCAAGGATCCATTTGTTATCTGTTCATTTTTGCCATTAAAGGTTGGACGAGCACCAAAGTTCAAAAGCATCAGTATTTTTTCCGGTCCTGCTTTTTGTCGTCCAGCTTTCACATCCATAACGGAGCACAGAAAAGTCGAGTTAGAAAAGAGAGTTCTAACCTTTGTTTGTAGAGATAAAACATCTTTTCAAGCTTATTCATCCTTATCCTGCTGCGTTCCGGTCTATGTTGTATTTCTTGACTGTCGAATCTTTTGTTGTTATTAATTTATCCAAGTAAGTGAAAGCTGTCCATCACTTCTACATCTTCACAACCAGTGGTAACCATCTTCACAACCATGTCTTCATCAAATAGAGCCCCATCTCTTTAATCTGCTCTGTAACTTTCCTTATGTGGCCCCTCAAGTTTTCCTGATTTTCCACTATGAGTGTCATGTCATACATGTATTGAAGGTTATTGATGTTTGAGGTCATGTTCGATATATAAGATGTTGACATGATAAATTGTAGCCAGCCATGCCAAAAACATGATAAAAAAGTGACATAGTGAAATGAAGTAGTCCGTGATTTCTGATACTATGCTATTTGTTTATTAGCCCTTGGGGGCTTTTGAATCACAGGTAACTCTCTTCTTATCCGTTTATTTCAGCAACACTCTAGTTATTTTTAATATGCCATACCACACTCTACATCTTCTGCTAGTTACCTGGCCATGTTCCACTTTGACAAAAGCAGCTTTTTAATAAAGTTGCTCTTTAATTTCAGCTCCACATTCAGTACATACATCCAATAGGGAAGTAGACTGATCTGATCTTTAAGGCCTCAGTAAGTAGATCTTGGAGTTTCTGAATAAGAGACCTCTGGCAGCAACACCTCCAGCACCATAAAGACCAACTCACAGCCAGAGTGTTTCTTAAAGTAACAGTTCAGTGAAAAATGTTTGGGTAACATGGGGAGATCAGGTCTTGTTCGGTTAGGGTTAGGGTTAGGGTTAGTTAGCTAGGGCAGGGAATATACCCTAATATATTTTGTGTTGTTACTGTAAAAAAACATTTTTTTTGTGCTCATGGATGTGACCTGATACAAACACTGAACGGTGAACATTAGCAAGACAGTTGATTTTTTTTGCTAGTTAGTTAGCAATGCCTTAGATAACTACTTGATTAAAACACCTTTGATTTAGTGAATAAGAAGTACGAGTTCAAGGCGAAGTTAGGGGAGCTTTTTAAATTTCACATATTTTTTATAATTTGGTATATGTTTATAACACTGGGTTGACGAATTAGACAATCACGGATAAAAGATAAACCAAACACAAGATAAAGCAACCAGATAAACCAAACAGAATACACTGTCAGTTTAAGTGTTATTTGCAGTGAAAATGTGATCTTGGTCTACACTTCCTTATGAAATTATAAACAAACACTCCAAAAGAGTTTTCATTAATTATGGTTTTTGATGAATATTATTCTTTTGTTCAGATTCATATCTGCCAAACTTTTTAGTTGTCAAGATGTGAAGGATTTGTTCAGATGACTAAAAAATGAAAGCATTAAAGACACAGACACTTAGTTTTTGCTTTTTAACTATGCTAATATATTGGTTTACACATGATGCAAACCAGAGCAAACTGTTTGCTTTAAAGGAAATACAGAATGAATCACAAAACAGTACAAAGGAAAGTCACCTTTCAGGAAAATATTATTTCAGTTCAGTATAGATAAGCTGAGCAACAGGGCGAGATGTGTCTACATAAATTTGGTTAAGTTTGCTGTTTTAAATGAGGTTGTGAAGAAATAGATAACAAAAATGTAAGTTGGTGCCTGATGTTGCAGAGTCCAATAATTATGCACTTAAAATACAGGTCTTGACTGAAACTGATGTTCAGTTGTGAATTTAACTTTATTTTATAGTGAAAGTCTCAGAGTAAAGTTTATATAAGGGATATGTGGTAAATCAAAGGGTTTGAAATATAATTCAATTTGTAGAGTTTAGCAAAAATGTGTAGTCGCCCACCTGTTTATTGCAGTTATTGAGTACAAAACAAAGTAGACTGTAATCCCCCTTGTGTTTGAACCATTTTAAAGATGTAATGAGCTGCTGGTAGGTAAAACACATCATTAATTACGCTGACGAATCTGGAAATGCCAGATAACATAATATATGTTATGTTATCTTTTTCAGGTTACTTTGATTTCTTCTTCTAGGTCTACCTAATGAATTTCACTGTAATAAATCACTGATTATTACATTCTGTAACTTTATTACACGATAGAAGCAGAAGAGAAAGCTGAGTGTGTGATTTGTGTCTCAGCGATAGAAAAGAAGCACAGCAGCTTCAGTGATCTCTCGGGACGCACTGGCGGCTGTATTTGTCCCGTATCCATTCCAGTCAAAAGAAGCAAAATCTCCACACTGTCTTGGTGCACCTTCTGGGAAATGACCTCCTCCACCAATACAGTACTGCAAAACATCAACAATGTATCTATAGATATATATGGTATATAGGCAAATGTTCAATATTCAACACTGAGTACATCTACAAAAAATTTAATTACATTAATAGTTCATTCAACACACTTACGTAATCTGACAAAAGAAAGTCTTCTACAGTTTGCGATCTACAGTCTGAAGTCACAATTTAGAGTTTCTTCCTTTTATTTTATTTTATTTTATTTTATTGTGGTGCTGTAGATGTAGTGTTGAATTGTGGTGGTGTGTTCAGCTTCCAGGGCTGCTCTTCTCAATTCAGTTATGTTTGAGCAAATGCACATATGTAGCAAAATGAGAGAAACCAGATTGAAGATATGCATAAAATAAACCAATTACTGGGCTACAATCCAGGTGCATTTCTTAAAATAGCTTTAAATACATACAGTATATCTGTTCCATTTCCAAAACTAAAATGTGAAATTTGACAGTTTATTAACTCACATGTTCTGTATTGCAGCCAGTTGGTCTGACTCCAGAACAGATCGCCATGGCTGCCTTCTCAACATTAAACACCCGGAAAGCGATGTAGCCAGTCTCAAACTCTCCTGAAAAGATTATATTAAACTATTATTATAATTAATTGCTTTTAATCGAATAACAATATTGATTTTTAATCTCACATTTAGTCTTTATTCAGGCTAGTAAGTATTAAGTAAGTTTTATTTATAAAGCATTCTTAAAACAACTCGTGTTGGCCAAGTTGCTGTACATCAAATCAGCACAGACAAACACAACAAGAAGGAAAATAAACATAAAAATAAGACAAGTTGCATAAAATAGGAAAGAAAACATGAATAAAAGAGGTAAAAGAATAAAAATGAAATAAAAAAACAGATAAGATGAGATAAAAAAGACTTAAAACACCGACTTAAACATGTATAATTACCACAGCCCTTCACTATTCGAATGTGAGTTTGTATAAATATGTTTTTAGTAGTGATTTAAAAACAGCGATTGAAGGTGCATTGGCGAATAGTGAGAGGTAGAATGTTCCATGATCTCAGAGCATAGACTGCAAACATACGGTCAACTTTAAACTTAAAACGAGCCCATATAGGAACAGCCAGCAAGTTCTGTGAGGATGATCTCAAAGCTCGCTGTGTGGTAGAGGGAATGAGCATACTGCCAACATACAAGGGGGTCTGACCATTAAGTGCTTTAAAAAGAAATAAAAGCACTTTGAACTGTATCTTGAACTGGACAGGTAGCCAATGAAGTGAAGTGAGGACTGGAGTAATATGGTCTCTTTTCCTGGTAGTAGTCAGTAACCTAGTTGCTACTTTTTGGACTAATTGTAAGCGTTGCAATAGAGACTGGTTAATCTGTTTCTGAGCTGGAAGAAGCTGATCCTTACCACAGAGTTGACAACTGCTGAGAGACCTTAAAGAGCCATTGTCATGAGGTCTAATGGGAAGGTAAAGCCGTATATTGTCAGCATAAAGATGAAAGCTGACGTTGTGCTTCCTAATAATTTCACCTCATGGCAGCATGTATAGCAAAAAAAGGAGGGGCCCTAAGAGAAATATCTGGCAGTATTCATTGAAAAGGTTCTGTGCTTAAGATATGAACCAACTCAGGGGCTCTCCTTGTGACCCCATCCATTATTCTGGAAAATTGGCAATAAAAGCTACTCTGTCCCTCCAGATTCTGGTCCCAGAAATCCACCATAGAGGTATGAATGTTGAATATCATTTGCCAATCTTAAATAAGTAATAATGTGGCAGTATAAGCACTACCACACCACTGAACATAGAACGGGTAGGGAAAGACGGAACACCACACTGGCACTATCTTGGAAAAGGCTAGAGGCATGAAATTTTCATAATTTTACGAATTTTACTTCATGTGAAAGGATGTTGACTTACCTCTCACGTCGGGACCATAAAAGTTCCTGGTAGAGGCTTCATTTCCAAAGTCGTACACCACTGGGGCAGTAGGTCCGTTATTAGTACGGCAAACCCCTGCTGCATATGTCACTGGAAATTTCTAAAAGCAAAATGAATAAGGAAACACAAGGCTGACCATCTGAGATTCTTTCAAGAAATCATGTCATTGTGGCCAATATTGGGCAAGTTTTGAGCTCATTTCTTCATTAGTGTCTTAAAAAGTGTGTGTGGCCTTCAGTTTTGCCTTAAAATGCTTTTGAAAAAGCCATAACCTTTGAACTACATGAATGAAACGTTCTGGGATTGTTCCTTACCTTTTATTGTATGTTACAGAAGATACTGGCTATTTTATGGCTTACTGAGAATGTGGAAAATTATGTTGATATATACAAACTCATATACATCAACCAACCACTTCTTTTAGTACAACACTCTGTCCATTTTATCAGCTCCACTTACCATATGCTGTGGTTTCTAAACTGTGTCCACTCACTGTCCGCTCTAGTAGACACTCCTACCTTGTCGGTCCACCTTGTAGATGTAAAGTCAGAGACGATAGCTCATCTGCTGCTGCACAGTTTATGTTGGTCATCCTCTAGTCCTTCATCAGCGGTCACAGGACGCTGCCCACAGGACACTGTTGGCTGGATGTTTTTGGTTAGTGGACTATTCTCAGTCCAGCAGTGACACTGAGGTGTTTAAAAACTCCAGCAGCACTGCTGTGTCTGATCCACTCAGACCAGCGCAACACACACTAACACACCACCACCACGTCAGTGTTACCGCGGTGCTGAGAGTGACCCGTTCTGTGGGGGGACTGTGGGGGCCATGACCACTTAAGAACAGAGAAACAGATGGACTACAATCTCTAACTGTAGAACTACAGAGTGAAACTATATGGTCAGGGGAGCTGATAAGATGGACAATAAATGTAGATACATGGTGCACTTAATGAAGTGGCTGATATGTGTGTATGTGTGTGTGTATCTTGACTGCCCAAATGAAAACATGGATCTCCATTTTTGTCCATTTTTATTTTTCTACTCTATTTGAAGACGGAGGCTGCCCTTTACATTGTGTCACAGTTCCATGATGAATGGAGAAATGCTCCAAAATGACTTGGAATAAAACCTCCTGATATGAACTTACATGAAAAGTAAAAAAAACATCTTTTCCCTGTAAAGTTGCCATTTCGGAGATACATGAGATTTTTTCTCGGACATCTACAATTTGTATGTGTGGCAACATCATCACTGTCTAACTAGAGCATCTAATTTATTTGTCTTATAAGCTCTAATGATGGTTAGAATGCTGCCTACATAAACAGCTGCCTGTGTCGACAGAGACTAGTCAGAGAGCTCACTAGGTGTTGGGACACACCCTACATATCTTCTTATGTATTAGAGGAAATGTCTCCACACTGAGTTACATCAGATTGTTCAAATTTGTGTATTTTTAAATATGATACAGTTCACTTTACTCCACACATTTATCTTATAGTAATGAATGATTCTGGTTTATCATTTGCTAAAAATGAAAATCAACATACATAGATCTCTGTTTAACAAAGCGCTGCCAATTTATATCATATAAAAGAACACATTTCAATTGACAATTTTACCAAATATAAAGTTTGTACATTCTTTAAAAAGTTGCTTCCATATAGCACTCAAGGGTTCTGCAATTACGACATCAAGCTTTTTGGTGCCATATAGGACTCTTTTCAAAAAGGTTCTAGCAGAACCATCTACAACACATTTTCCATGAATCCGAAGAACCCTTTTACAATGCAAAGAACCATTAAATCACACAAAGTGGTTCTTTGAGTGGTCATGAAGAGCTCTTGAAGAACCATCTTTTTTAAGAATGTATTTATGAGTGTCAAAAGTTTTAAAGCCCCTAAAATCTCCCTCACAGAAGGTTTTGTCTGTTATGCTGACTCCTTACTTCAGATACATTAGTATGTATATCATGTAGATCATTTTAACCTTCACTAAAGTATATTTTTGGTTCTACATTTTTAATTAAATAAGATTTTGATACAGTACCCTCACTTCCACTTAAGTACAGTCTCACTGTACTTTCTCCAGCTCTTCTCATATGGGAAGAATAAAAATTGGATTTGAGATATTTGTGGTTTTACCTTGAATAAGTTGAAAAGATTCCCTCCATGGAGGCTGAGAATCCGGTTTTCAGTGTGGTAGCGTAAGATAGAAGCAGCAGTCCACTGTTGTACCAGAGCGTTATTAGGAACATGCCACACAGACACATCCTGAGCCACAATGTCGTAATACCCAGGGTTCTGTAAGAAATAAGAGCGATGGACCGTTAAACAGAATTAAAAAGCCTTCACAAAGCATCTCAGGGTGGAGGGTACAGTTTACAGTCAAGTTACGTCAACAGTGGAGGAATGTAATCTGAGATTAGCAGCAACAACTGAACAACTGTTTAAGTAAACACACTGTATTTGTCTTTTGGAGATCAGATTGTGAGAAGCAGAAAATGCAACCAAGCCTGAATATCCTCCAGATTTCTTTGAGAAACTGAGAGTGAGTGAAAAGAATGGAGGCTGTAATAAAGGTAAAGAGTGACACTGAACACCTTTGCCCTGACACTGAACAATGGATAACTTGTACCTGATCACCTTTAATAATACAAAATAAATCAAATAAAAAGGGTGGTCTGTCATATTTGCATAATCATCCAAAAATAGATATTTGGGGCGGGGGGGTGGCTGTAACTTGGTTTTAGAAAGTAACACCACCCTAAGACCTTTTTTTTCATTAACAGCTGAAATGCACAGCTCTGTGATGATAAAATACACCAGCCTTGCCTAAAATGTGAAACAAACTGTAAAAATGCCCATTTTTATCATGGTCAGTTCCGCCTCTGCAGCGCCCCTCTGGTTCAACTCTGCCATACACACGGTTGATGCAGCTTTGTACTGAATTACATCAGTCAAACAATGTGGCGGCGCTGAGGGTCCGATTTATGAAGGGGAACATGAATTTGAGGCAGAACTGAATCAGATGTAACACCGGTAAGTGCCATGAACAGCTTGCAGAACGTAAGGATTTAGGGCCACTGCAGCAAACCCTGGCTGACCGGTGATGCCGTCTGTGACCTTGATGTCAAACTGAATGAAACTTAGACAGAGTTCAAAGAAATCCACTTTATTCATTCCAGAATTCAGGGCATCTAAGAAATCAGGACTAGGGTTATATTGAATATGGATCTGCTGAACAGATAATTAGAAGCTCACTGTTAGTTTTAAGGAATGTTTTACCGTTCGGCGCCTCTGCCGCTCACCGCTACTCATTTTCTGGCGCTATGTTAACTTCGGCGGCTTGAGTCAATGTTAAGGCTCAAGACGCACTGCCTGATCAGAAACACCTTCCCTCGTAGAAGATGGGGATGAAAGTGGAGAAAAATCATCAACCTCATAAGCCCTCTCAGTTGCAAAAGTGCCGTTTGATTCAGTCACTCTCCATATTTTCTGGTAGCTAATGTACACTAGCTCTAAAAACACAGCAGCCCAGCCCACCCAGTTTCCCCTCACAGCCCCACTTCCAAACCCGTAGAGCACTGCAGTGTACTCCCAGCATGCCCCTCCCATTTGAGCATTTTTCAAAGTTGAGCTAGGGGTGGAGTCAGCTGAAAATAGTGGGGTGTAGTTACTCTTTAAGATTGAAAGGATGGAAGAGTTAAAGAGGTGGCAGGGTGCAAAAGAAATAAAGAAAGTCTGGATAGATTTTTGTGTTGGAAGCTTTTGTGCGATTTTCAGTAAAAAAATGTTTTGGCTGGAAACTGAATAAATAAAATGGTGAACTCTTACTTTTGCACACTGTTGTACTTTTATACATAATGCATATAAGGTACTGCACCTTATTGTACCTTGTAGTCGTCACTGGTAGCTGCTTCTGCAGTTCCAAATGTGGCTGTGTTGGCCCAGTTTCCATCTCCATCAGGTACGTTGGGGTTGTTACCTTGCTGGCTAGACCAGCGGTCACCTACAGTGCATTTCCCATACATGTTGTTCTCGTGCACACTGGCCACCAGTGTCCAGCCACCTCCTGCAGTGGTCATGTCACAGTAGGTCTGGTAGACCACCCCGCTCTCCGTTGTCAGAAAGTACAGGCCATCTGTTTATAAACAAATGTCACTGACTGATCAAAACATATTTTTGTGGAAAATTTCAAACTCAAGTTATTTCAGCTTTACCTTCATCGATTTTATACTTGTTTCTGAGTTCTTTGCAGCTTCGAGCCACGTAGTTACTCCTGTCAGGTCTCTCAGGAGCTTCTCCATCCTGCAGTATGTACATCATACCCACTGTAACGACAGAATGTTGAGGAGCACTTTGTGAGTTCACTAGCATCTCAAATCAAGTCACAGCTCTGAATGAATGAATTATTTCTTATATATTTTCAGGGCTGAGAAAAGAACATGATTTACTTTTATTTAGGAAGTTTAATTTAAGAAAACTTTCATTTGAACTGTTTTAAGCAGTTAAACCTAAGAATTTTGTAGGTTGTTTGAAAACAATGGGGTTAGATTTACACATTTTAAACGGCAATGTATGATAGGAAAAAAATACATATATAAATATATATAATTGAATATAAACAGCACAGCAACAGGTGTTTTTATTTTGTTTCTCTATATGTAGGATTTACCCACCTGATTTGGATTCACAGGGGAACAGGTTTGTTGACAGACATATCAACAGAAATCCAAAGCACAGCACAGACAACATCTTTGTAGATAAATCTGCATGAAAAAAACAAAACTTATTCATAATAATAATAATAATAATAATATGGCACATCACACAAAAATATATTTTTATGAGGCATAATTAAAGTACCTGCTCTGTTGCTGGTGTTTTCTGTGTGCAGTTGTGTTTGTCTGGATGGACGTCTCAGTGTTGGAGGTGCAGATGAAGAATCTCCAGTCTGAGAAACAGTAGCCTATTTATATCTGGGTCAAAGCAGAAACCATGAGGAAATGAAAAAATGAAATACAAAATACATGTTTCATGTTTCAGGAGCGGGCTTATCACTAGTATTTACCCAGTTCAGTCTAGCGTGACATATTTGCATTTTCCTGTGTGGCAAGTTTCAAGTTACAGTACGTTCACTGCTACCCCAATCAGCCTCCTTTAAAAACAATGTTTGCCAACAACCGTTGACTGCTAGGATGTTAATATTTGTTCATTATGTTAATATTTGTTTTAAAAAGTGAGGCTCTTAGGAAGAATGTCCAATTACTGTAAAGTTAGATCATATGTGAACAAGTAAGTACAGGATGATAAACAGGTCAGTGGAAATAAACTAGAGGAGCAGACATTTCTGCTTTTATAGTACAATAAAGAAAATCTTTTTCTCTGGGGCAACAAACCCTCTGGTGAATCTTGCATCGATTTGTGACTCAGATTTTAGTTTCTGATCACAGTAAAACAAAAGATAAAATGCTGATAATACGCTGCTGTGTCTGATCCACTTACACCAGCACAACACACACTAACACACCACCACCACGTCAGTGTTACTGCAGTGCTGAGAATGACCCACCACCCAAATAGTACCTGCTCTGTGAGGGTCCATGGGGGTCCTGACCACTAAAGAACTACAAAGTGCACCTATATAGTAAGTGGAGCTGATAAAATGGACAATGAGTGTAGAAACAAGGAGGTGGTCATAATGTTATGCCTTATTGGTGTAATTATATATATATAATTGCAAAAATAAGTGCAAGAAATATGGTATAGGTGTGCCACTCATATATATGTAACATATATGTTACAGTTTCTGTTACAGTCAAAGCCACAGTTTCTGTTCTGCCAGTAGAATCTGTGCCGCAGCCACCACCCCGAAGTGCCACCCCATGATTCACAACCAACACAGTTTTATCATAATGTTATGCCTGATTGGGGTGTATATTTTTATATTTTTGAAATACATTCCAAACACTAAAATATATTACAGAATATATTATCAAATATTCAAATATATTTTACAATGCTTTTATTTTAAAATGTTTGGGGACATATTACACATAGAAATGTACCATACAGAAATAAATGTATGTAAATGTGTTTATCAAATACAAAATCCTGTCTCATGCACTTCACTCTTTGGATACCTCTAGAAATTAATTTGTATTCCAGTATATCAATATATTTCCAGTAAAACAAGGTGAAATACTAAGTACACGTCCATAAAGTTTGCCACAAAGTCTAGAAAAGGACACAACTCCAGAGAGGAATGACACATATGGTTCCTCCATCAACCAACTGGAAGTGCACTCTGGGTCATTTCTGTGTTATTATGGGAATCAAGGAACCTTATTTAACATATCTGATAAACTACTTTTGGTAACTCTTTATATTAAGAGTCACAAATGTATCTGCAATTACTGTATATACTAACAAGTAATTAAATGCTCATTATACGTTAATTAACTGCTCATTAAGCATGATTAAGTACTTAGCGATTAGTAATTGAGAACACTGTAAACTGATAGTTTAATTTGTCATTAATTCACAGCTTATTTACTCATTAACTGCACACTAACTCCTGCTTATTTCACTGCTAGTGAACTGATGTGTGTTCACTCATATAAATCAGTATCATGAGAACCTGTAAGTTCTTATGTGTTAATCCCAGTAAGCCTCGACAGTTGTTTACTACTTGTTTAAAACACAAAAAATCGATGCTCTTGGTTGTCTGGCCATTACTGTCTGTAATATTAGGAGCAAGGTTGTTTTTTAAATGGGACTCCTTCTGCATATGCAGGTCACAGCACAGAAATGGACAAGAAAGTAGTTTCAGGCAATTTAGACCAACTTACTCCATCAGCGGCTTGTTGGAATAGCTGTGGACAAAGTTTATACCCCTGCTCAAAAAAGTGTATTTATGCTTTTTTAATGTTATTGTTGTTTGCAGCGAATAGCGGGTGTCCTTTTTGCGTGCACACCATGCAAATACTGATGATATACACAATATGTTCAGAAGGGCATATTGTATTGTATTGTGACATAATTTATCATTGTCACTGTTATACTGCCAAGCTCCAGGCGCAAATGTGAATGAAAGAGGCTACATACAGCTGCTGGGAACCCGTCTACAACTCTTATTATTTGCTCAGTGATATCTTTTAAATCTAATGCGTAGTGTCATGTCTGCACCACTTCATGAACATTTATTTGCACTGAGTTAGGAAAGTGCTTATCAGAAACGAAAACTCTGGATGTTTCTGAATGTTTATTTCTCCACTGTGTCTTGCCTGTATGACTGTATGCTGTCTTGGTTCCTTTGTTTAGCTTAAATGCCTAAATATTTATACGACAGAAACAGCATTTGTGAATTAACTTATGTGTCATGAGGTTTCAACACATGGACCATCTGGGATTAGCCCCCTCGACCCTTCCATTATCATACCTACAGATGATTTACTGCATACACACATCCCTCACTTTGGGCTGGCAGGCCGGGAGGTCTTTTGTATGTTTTGTAGATCTAAGCTTTATTTTTTGTTTCCTAGACAGTGGCTTACTTAGCTTCTTGTTCTTTGGCTTATCTGGGCCTGACCATTGCTGTTATCTTCTGTTTCTTCTCTGTATGGATAAGCCTGTGTTTAACCTGGGTGCCTCTTTGATGACCCCTGGTTTGAACTGTCACAGTGACTCCTAGAAGTGTCCAATAAACAAGGGTCTTCGTACCAAAGTACAGTGACACATCACAGTATGCAAATCAAGTCAACCAACATCACTGATGACGGCCTATTCATGCCGCACTTATAAATATGAAAGCACAGGAGCCGAGAGCGAGGAGATAACCACACTCGTGCCAAGCTAAACACCCCAGCACTGCCTCACAAGGCTGCGATCTGCCAGCTGTCTGTACCAGCCGTAAATAACCCAACTAGTCTAAGCTTAGTTTGTAATAAAGATGTTGGACCGATTAAGTGAGGATTCTTGCAAGTCTCTGTAAAGCTGCTGGTGTTGCACCCGATTCATGTTTCTGATCACAACTCAAAGCCTCCTGCATGGCTCACTGAATAGGAATCAACGGCAAGCAACACTGGAACTATGGAAAGTGAAACAGTTCAGGAAAGGTTAACGTTAAATAGCCATTGTTACTGACTGCATTAACCTATTGTCCGTACAGCCTCTCTCAAACTTTTTTCCTGCTTTGCCCTTCCCAGGGCAATGTCTGTACGCAATTCTTCTAACTGATTATTAAGGATCTGGTTTCTTACATGAGATATTGAATTGTTAAAATGTCTATATTTGCTTATGTAGTTGCTGGTTGCTGTGTGTGCTCTTCTCAATGCTAAAAAAACAAAATTTCTTTGTCCTTTGTTTAAAGACCTCATCAGTCTACGAATTATTGTTTGAGCAGCTCTGTTTGATCTAGCTAGTAACCTGATATTGCTTCATCTCAGTGAGGCCATTGCAGTGAAAAGGCCTATCCGCAACACCGTGCCAGCTGAAGGATCACCAGGATCAGTCTTCAAGACAAATACGGAAAGAGGAAACAGTAGCAGCAACAAGTACAAGCACTAGTCACAAGACAAGAACAAGCATGATGTTGGCTGAAGCATGTTCAATAACACAAGCAACACAAGCTATAGCTGTCTTTGAGAAGCAGACCTAGAAACACAGAAACAAAACAAGGTTATGCAAGCACTACTGGCGCTAACAAGAGGAGAATCAAATTTCAGGGCTCAGCTGGTCTAAAGATAATGATGAATAAGGCCCGATGACCTCCAGTGCCGTTCCATATGATTAACAATTTAATAGGAAAGTGAAAGGTCATGCATTCCTAGAAGGTTCACATGGTAGCTCTGCACCACATTGTCTTGATTAGAGGTGACCCAAAACATCTTCAACAACATAACATGATTTATCTCTCTTCAGCAATGAGGAACAAGGAGCAAATCAGACACTTTCACAGTCACAATTCACAACCTTCAGGATACTAGCAGCAACACTTTGGCCACAGTCAAGTACATCACCAGGAACTATATGGTTGCCACAGGGGTAATAAACTTGATGATAAAGTAAAAGTCATCCTTTTGCAACTAAGCAGATAAAACTGATCTGGATAAATGTCTTGAAAATGAATCCTGTGCAGGCTCACAGCAGCAGATATTTGATTGGCAGCTGGTGAACTGAAAATTATTTGTGAACAAAGAATGGAAGACGGTTCATATGAAATCATTTGAATGAGCTATTTTTGCAAAACCGGAAAGTTTTAACAAGAAAGTGTGACTGAGCTGAGCTGCTCTAAGGGCACTAAGATTCTGTACCCCGTTTAGATCATTTGAATTGAACAGGATGCTTTTACAATGGAGCCTTCCAGTATGTGATGGTGCAAATGTTCAGAGTTTCTGCACTACTTTGTTGGATGATGTCACTGTTTTTTCTTTGACTCTTCAACAGCACTTTGAGTGATTAGATACAGTGTTCTCTTACTAAACAAGGCTTTAACCCTCTGCGGTCAACAAACTCACCCACACATCTTTGCAGTAATACAGCACAGAAATACGGTTCCAACATTGTACATGACTCACATCCGGAGTTATGAGCCTATAAAGTGTGGAACTGGTGGATTCGTGTGTCCGACTACATTCTGTGTGAAACTGACCAATGGACTCTCAGGAAATCACTAAGGACTGACCATCACGCCAGAAACCCTTCATTCTTCATTCAGTCCACATCGGAAACTCATGTGAAATGGCGTGCAGAGAGTTTACAGCTGCTGAAACTGCTGCAGCAGTTTTGGAAAGTAGTGATGAAGATAACGGAGCATTTTGATATGAAACATATGAGGATCATGTTATATGAAGAGCCTTTAAAGAAGAAGATATGCAAAAATTGAGAAAATACCCTCAGACCTCAGAAGGTTAGTGGAGTTGGAAACATGGCACGTTCTTCCAGAAGAAGATCAGGTAACTGGGTCATGTGGTTTCAGAAGAGGATGTTTCTATAAGCGTCAGTTCAAGAACAGAGGCAGCCAAAACATCTGGCAGAGCTGCATTCATTTGTCAGGTTTGACAGCTGTTACAGCAGATGTGGGAATGTCTTTCACCTTTTTCAAACTTCAATCTGTTGAGTAGAAGCAAAACTGCCCCAGGTACTTCTCAAAAGTTTTCTAACACCGTGCTTCACCAGTCCACTAGTAAAAGTTCATATCGCTTGATATCTAACAAGGAATCACAGTTACTCATGGATTTCGTACTAAGCCATAAAGAACCCCCTGTAGTGGAAGAGGGAGTAGAAGAACAGGTATAGGAGCACCAGCAGCTTCTGAGACTTGCATATAAAAATGAACGGCAAAAGTTGGGAGACTCAAGGCTACTAATGGAACCAAACACATAATACTCATGATGTTGGTGCGGAAAGTGTAATATTTAATGTAGGACTACTAGAATTCAATTGTCTATCAGTAATGGTCTATAATTGGCACGACAAAACAACCTGGTTGTGTCTTTAATTGCTCCTGCCCATCCAGAAGGCCCCATTAGACTGACCACCATTCTGTAGTAAGTGCTGTTTGAAGAGGGAGAGCAGAATATGCTAGGTGGCTAGGTGATACAGCAAAATTGATGTGACCAGTCAAAAGGACAGCACAGTAAACATTAGCAAAGTAGTTGATTTGTTTGGCTAATAATTTAGCAGTGCTATAGATAAGTTTTTGGTCAAAGGCCTACTACCTTTAACCTGCTACTGTTTTATTACAGATTTAGTGAATAAGAAGTGTGCAAGATGAAGTCTGGGGGAATTTTTAATTTAGGTGTCTTATCATTTTATATTTGTTTTGATGAGCTTGCTTATAAATATCGTATGGGTATGACCAAGCTGACTGAGAATCTTGTGTGTTTGTGTCGCAAGCTTTGCATGTTAAATAGTGCAGTTATATTTGTCTGGATGGTTACTTTAAGTCTTAAAGTCTTAGTGCTGAGGTGTAGATGAAGTGTCCTATTTGAGAAAGAGAAACTTATTCATCTCTCACTGTTTTGGTAAGAAACACAAGAAACATTGATTTTCCTGAAGTGTAGAAAACCCATATGATATAAACAGGGGTGGCTAAGTCAACAGATGTATTTACTTAGTTCCATGTATTTAAGTTTGGCATATTTAAACTTTCCTGTTTGATATGGTTTGATCTGTTAATATTTATTTTGATCTAGTATCCTCAATAGGGGAAAAAATAAAAAAAGCACATCTTTAAGAACAATAGGCCTAATTCACCAATGTATGTAATAATGTTTTTTTCTTAAATGTGTTCTTGAGAAAGGTCCTAAGAAAAAGTCTACATCAGATTAATGACAACCCCAGAACTGTTCTCACCTTTGTGCTTGTGAGTGTGTGTAGATTCTGTTTTTACCTAAGAATAAATCTCAAATAAGAAAACCCTGGTGAATGACAGGACCTTTTTGGGGTGGGTTTTAAGAAGAAATTTCTTCTGAAGAATGGTTGGTGAATGAGGCCCAATGTTTCTTTACTGTAAAGCTAAATAATCTGTTAATGAATTTATCATGTACAGGATGATGTATAGAGGAAAAACTAGAACAGAAGACAGTTTTGTATTTATAATGCTCTTAAAACAGATGTGTTAAAAAACAAAACATTCTGTCCCTAAATAGGCACACCAGTGTATTCAGTTGGAAATGACACATTTTGGATTACTTTTAACGCAGAGTGTATTACATCAGAAAACAATGACACAAATAGTGCTAAAATGGGTAACACAAGTTGGTGTGTTGTTATTTAACACATCACTTTTTAGAGTGTGGGCACATCTCGCATGATGGTCTTGTCATTGGCATGGACTACAATGTCAGGGACATGCTTATAGTACTTGTTATGCCCTTGTACCCCCAGGTGCTTGCACATGGTCCAGTGGATGTAGCTGGCCACTTTGTTGTGCGTGCACTATGTGCAAGTGTTGCACAATCAGCAACTATGTGACTCATATGTTCTTCTTCCTTGCTGCACATGCTACACTTGCAGCATGTTCTTCTGGTGGAACCTGGAGGTGCCTGGTCCTGGGCTGCAATGATAAGGTGCTCTGTTTCTCCCTTGAGACCGGAACTGCATAGTTAGGCCATGGATGCTTCTTTGTTCACTGTTGTCCTGTCGAGGTCTCAGTAGATTTGTACATGCAGTGTACAATTCTACCTGGTTTCTTGCTTAAGTACTTCTCCATAATATTCCTGGTTTCTTTCTGGACAGAGTACTAGTCAAGAGTATCTGATACACACAACAAAAGGGCCTTGACGTTCATGTTTTCATTATTGACACCTTTCATTATCAACCTCTCTCCTCAACGTCCAGGTACTTGTATGACTTGATGGTGTCCGAGTTCTAATCACTTAATCACCTAATCAGTCAGTCTTGTCATTCAGCTGGATATGTTTGGTTGTTGACTAGATTGTCTCGTTGTAGCCTGCTGTGGCAGCTTTTGCGAGGCCAAATTCTTTTTGATGTCATCACTGAGTACTTAAACAGTGGTACAGGCTTGGCGCAGCTGAACTTAGCGGTATCAGTGCTAAGCAGAACAGCATGGGAGACAAGGAGTCACTTTGGAAGATCTCTTTCCTGATGGTGATCCTATCTGGATGTGGCATCCAGTGTGGTACAGCCACATTTTTGGTCTTCCACTGTCTCATCAACGTTTCCCCAAACTGAATGGTCTTTAAACATACTTGGTAGATCTCCATCACTGCAAGTATCCAACTGTGAGGCAAGCTATCAAATGCCTTTCTTGTAGTCTGTCCACACCATACCTAGACTCTTCAGGTGATTCTTCACACCTAGCTACAACCAACTTAGTCATTAGCGGCTGGTCTTTGCATTCTCTAGATGCTCTGCAAAAACCTTTCTGCTCATGTGGGAGAATTCTGTTCTTGTGTAAGTGGCTATAGATGCAGTACATCAGCACAGCTGCAACTATGATTCATAACACATGCAATATCATATGCAGTAGACAGATGGTATAAACTACAACCCCATTTCCAAAAATGTTGTGACGCTGTACAGAAAAATAATGTAAATAAAAATAGAATGCGATGATATGCAAATTATAAAAAACGTATTTTTAAAGGAAAATACTACAAAGACATAATATCAAATTTTGAAACTGAAAAATTTTATTGGTATTTGAAAAATATATGCCCATTTTGAATTTGATTCCAGCAAAACGTTCCAAAAAAGTTGGGACATGGCCAACAGAAGGCTGGTAAAGTTGTGTAATGCCAAAAAAAAAACACCTGGTGGTTAATTGGCAACAGGTCAGTAACATAAATGGGTACAAAAAAGCATTCCAAAGAGGCAGAGTCTTTCAGAAGTAAAGATGAGGGGTTCTCCAGTCTGTGAAAGACTGCATGATCAAATAGTGCAACGATTCAAGAATAATGATTATCAACGTAAAATAGCAAAGAACTTTTGCTTTTCATCATCTACGGTACATAATATCATTAAAAGATTCAGAGAATCTGGAGAAATCTCTGTATGTAAGGGACAAGGCCAAAAACCAGTATTTGCTGGCCGTGATCTTTGGGCCCTCAGGTGGCACTGCATTAAAAACAGACATGATTCTGTAGTGGAAATCACTGCATGGGCTCAGAAACACTTCTGAAAAACACTGTCTGTGAAAACAGTTCATCACTGCATCCACAAATACAAGTTAAAGCTCTAACACGCAAAGAAGAAACCAGATATAAACAGGATCCAGAAATGCTGCCACCTTCTCTGGGCCTGAGCTCATTTAAAATGGACTGAGGGGAAGTGGAAAAGTGTTCTGTGGTCTGACAAATCAACATTTGAACATTTGATCTTGGACACTGTGTCCTCCGGGCTAAAGAGTCAGCTTGTTATCAGTGCATAGTTCAAAAGCCCCTATTCATGATGGTATAGGGATACATTAGTGCACATGGCATGAGTGACGTGCACATCTATGAAGGCACCATTAATGCTGTATGGTATATACATGTTTTGGCAACATATGCTGCCATCCAGACGACGTCTTTTTCAGGGAAGGCCTTGATTATTTCAGCAAGACAATGTTAAACCACATTCTGCATGTATTACAGCAGCATTGCTCCATATTAAAAACAGAACAATAGGTAACTCAATGCTAAAAACAGACTAGAGATCTCATCAGATATAGAGAGAAGCTTAAGACATCAAGTCCGGCCCTACACAGCACTCCTTTCTTATGTTTCGCCTTTCTGCGTAAAGCAAGGATGGTACCGGCATTCTACAGCAGTGCAAGGGTGGTAGGACAGGGCATAGGCATTACAGTATAGGCGCCAAGCCGTGCTGAATGGAGAAGTTTTACTCCTGTAACACCAGAATCCACCTCAGTACCCGAACCTTGGACTCTTTGAACTGCATGAGGCAGGTGTGATCAGCGAACAGCAATAAGGGAATACCATACAGGTAGGGCTGGCACTGGTGCAGCCCCAGCCAGCAGTTTCCTCTGCATTACATGATAACTGCACTCTGGCTTGCTCAACTGCCAGCTGTATGTAATGACACTCCCATCAATGAACTCACCAGCCACCCACCATAATCCCAGTACTGGCACCTCATTCAGCTGGGCATGCAGGGCAACAACTGCGCACACAGTTTTCTCGTCCCAGCAGAAAATGGCACCCTTTTCCGTGAGCCGGTGAAACTATGTGTGACTATATCTGCAAACCCATGCTTGAAATGCCAGTCATACAAAGCTAAGCCAAGAAAGCTACACAGCTCACTGACACTCTACGGTGTGGGCCACTGCTGCACCGTGTCCACCTTCCCTAGGTTCATTTCCACCCCTGCACTACTCACTATGTGACCCAGGAAGCTTACGGTCTTAGGGTGCAGCAGAGCAGGCAGTATATTACTGTCTTTTGAAAGAACTTAAAAGCTTACAAATTTTGTGCGATGTGCACGTTTTTGTGTTCATGTATAACATTTTTCATGTTTTGCAGATTTTGTTTCAACAGTCTTCTGTGTTGTCCTTTGGATTTCTGTTGCTATGCCTGTCAGTGAAACTGTTCCCATGTGAATCCAAACCAGGTAAGAAAATCCTGGTAAGAAAAACATATAGAAAAATTTCTAAGCATAACTCCCATTTTTATTGTAAAAGTTTAAAAAGTTTATTCTAAAAATATTAACATGAAAACTTTAAATGTAATCAGATTTTTGTTTAACTGGAAAGTAAAATATCGGCTACATCTTGTTTCCCTGCAAACTGATAAGCAATACATACTCAGAGCCATTACTTGATTTAAAATGCTAGTGAACTGATGTATGACAGTGTGTTTCTCAGCATTCCCTCAATTCGGCAGGTGAGCTGCATGATTTGCCAACCGACACCAGCGGGAAACATGACTGGTGTAAATATGTGGCCGGGAGCTGCAAAGAACTCAAAGACAAGCATGAAGTTTCTGAAGGTAAAGCTGAATTTGCAGTACTGTTTGTTTATAAACAGATGGCTTGTACTTCCTTAAAACGAAGAGCGGGGTGGTCTACCAGACCTACTGTGATATGAGCACTGCTGGAGGTGGCTGGATGCTGGTGGCCAGTGTGCACGAGAACAACATGTATGGGAAATGCGCTGTAGGTGACCGCTGGTCTAGTCAGCAGGGCAATGACATCAACGTACCTAATGGAGATGGAAACTGGGCTAACACAGTCACATTTGGAACTGCAGAAGCTGCTACTAGTGATGCCTACAAGGTACAGTAAGGCGCAATACAAGGGATAGACTGATACAGGAATTCTGGGCCGATGCAGTTTGCCAATGCTTTTCAAGTGCATATCTGTCAATGTCAAAGTTGATACATATACATTTCTTGAAGTTACATATCGGGACTAAAGTGTTAAAGGGAAGACAGTAAAATTTCTCAAACATTATAGCTTAGTTACAATGCAATAAATGCATCATCAAATATTATTTATAATATCTAATTATCTTCTGATGCCAATAAAACAATGATCTGCTGACACCAGTTAGATTCCAGTATCATTGTGCATCCCTATTGTCTACAGTAGTCCTGTGTAAAGTATAAAGTATAATGCAAGAATTTCCCCATTTTTTGGGTGTTCACTAAAACGGTTGTTCTGGATGTTATTGCTATTCTTGTTTTAGTGTTAAAGTTAAGGTTAGTGTGAGGTTTAGGAGTAGATGTGGGATTTAGAGTTAGATTTAAAAGAATATTTCACACTCGAAGGTCAGTTGAGTTAAACAGATATTTAGTTGATTGTTAGTTAGACTGAGAATCTAAAAGATATAAGTGCATGTAAAAATGCTGGATTAACTATAAACTTAATCTTCTGCAGTTCTGTATCGGTGGAGGAGGTCATTTCCCAGAAGGTGCACCCAGACAGTGTGGAGATTTCCCTGCTTTTGACTGGAATGGATACGGGACAAATTCAGGTGCAAGTGCGTCCCGAGAGATCACTGAAGCTGCTGTGCTTCTTTTCTATCGCTGAGACCCAAATCACACATTCAGCTTTCTCTTCTGCTTCTCTCACTTACTTATTCACAAAATATTAGAATGTTGTTTTTAATGCAGGAGAGATGGAGGGGCATCATCTCGCCCTCCGAACAATCACTTCAGGCACTCTGGATTTGACATCGTCCTCATTTGTTTCATTACCAGAGATGCAAGAGACACTTTGAAATCCGATTTGAGGCTCTGGAGCTTTAAGATTGAGATACAACAATCTCAAAGGTGTTTTTTTGCTGTTCAGACTATGAAAAATAGATCAGGATACAATTTGGATATGACAAAATAGGATTTGAGCTGGCCTTGGACTGGCATGTCCAGATGTGCTATAGAGATTAATAATGTGTGTTCTCCTTACTTAAAATGGTTAAAACACAAAAAGAAAAAAATCCAGCCCACTTTGAGACTTAAAACATAACGTTACATTTACTATTCAGCGGACTCAGTCAACAGTTTTAGTCAATACTGTATCTGGACAACCAAATTTGTAGATTTATTGGACTTTGCAACATTAGGTGTAAAATTACATTATTTTTGTTCTGTTTTTAACATGAAATGTAACCAGTTGCATGTAGACTTATCCTCTCTTATCTATATATCTAAGCTTATCTATATTGAAACGTGATGTATTCATGTTTTATAAAAGGTATTTTGCTAAATGGTCCCATTTTACCAGACTTCCATTTGTGCTTTTTGTGATTCATCCTGTATTTACTTTAAAGCGAATGGTGTATACTGATTTTCATCATGCATAAGCCAATATATTAGCATAGTTAAAAAGAAAAATTGAGTCTCTGTCTCTTTTATGTGTATTTTTAGGTCTTTTAAACAAATCCTTCACATTTTGACAACTAAGTTTATGTATTTATACATGAGGAGGTGCAGACCAGATGACATTTTCCCTGCTTAAAACATTCAAACTGGCATTTATTCTCTAAGGTTCATGGTTACATTTCAAATTTCACAGTCGAAAGGTTTTGAATTTTAGTTTCACTGAGTGGATGCACAGTACAACACACCAGCAGAGGACACTGCAGCACCAAAAAGTTTCCACACCCTGATAAGGACTATTCCACAGCCAGCACCAGCAAACAAACATTTAGAACATAATGCATGCTGTAATATATACAATAAAAATTAAAGAAGCACTATACGCACCGCAAGGCCATACATTATTTGATATTGTTACGTGATCGATTGTGGTGGGAAACAGTTCGACCTGAAATAAAGCCAAATTAAAGATGTTGTCTCAACAATTAAGATATGACAAGAGTTGAGAATTGCATGCGCGGCGGTGCAACACATCCCCTGCAGACACAGTTACGTTGTGACAATGTACTGTTTTGGTGCCCACAACGTCGTCTGCTTGGTGCTCTCTACGTTGTCACTATGTTGAAATGTAATTCCTCAGAAACTTGTGACAATGTTGCCTGACAACTTTCTAGGAGGTTGTGACAATGTTGTGACAACCTTGATGAGACAGCAAAAGTAATCAGTACTACATTGTCTGTACGTTGCCACAACCTCCTAGAATCCTTAAGTTCCATTTTATTCAATATTAGAGTTTTTGATAACAAATGTAGTTCATTGGTGCACAGAAATGGATCTGTGTGTAGTTAGGCAATTTAATTATTTACCAAATAATAGTAAATATGCTTTCATGTTCAGCAATTTTCGTCACTATTTGTCTGTTAATCTAATAATAAATAGGCCTATCAGTGATAAAACTGTTGTATAATGACAACAATTCACTCAAGGTCGTGCTTTTAAGGAGATACTAGTGTTGGTGTGATGTGGTTGTGCTGTGTATCACCATACCTTAAGCTGCTGTCTGCCATGGTGGGCTCAGCAAAATGGAGCAGCTGATATAGACAACTAGCACGCCTGTTTTAAATTATTGGCTCTCCCACGATTGTATCATAAAACTTAGCACAATAAATAGTTTAGCAGGAATTTTAATTCTTTTACAAAAAAAAACTTTTTTTACATAGAACAACACTAATAACAGGAGCAGTACTGTGATTCTAAAAAGCTAAGAGAGAAATTTCCACAGACTCAATGTTATGAAATATTTTGTCTGTTTAGGTCTATTTTAACGGAAACTAATCAAATCAGAATCAGACCGTCAGGGGCGTCGCCAGGCCAGGTTTAAGGGATCTTAGCCCAAAGGGCACTAGAACCTGCGGGAGGCGCTGTTGTCATTTGCTAAAATTGTAACTCTTATATATGAAAACTTTTGGGAGTACATGCAAAAATAACTCCACTGGAGTAACTCATTTCATTTTTGGATTTTATACAAAAACACAATAACTCAAAATCAATTGAGAAGATTTGATTTAAAACCTAATACTGTAGTAAACCACAATAACAAACATTGCCTTTTTCATGAGCTGCCCTGGTGGGTTGAACTCGTGGCATTTCACATCACAAAGTTGCAGCAAGGCACCATATATATTTCGTCATCCATGAAAATGTCTTTCAAATCAACACAAATCACTGTAAATCTATCTGCTGTGTCCTGAATGCAGAAGGCATTCATGTGGTTATCAAAACCCTGCACTGACATTTGTTTAAAGAAACATGTACTCACTTTTCACAATTTCATTGTCAGTGTTTTTAAAGATGAACATCTCCTTTTGACATCAGTACAGACAATCATTACAGTGGCTGTGTTTATATGCAAATATTTTTGCCTGTCCGATTGAACACGTTCCGATAACAGATTGAGACTGAGCTGTTTTTATCTCACTCTATTCAACAACCTGATGAAAATCTTTGTGTTTTTACCTGCTTTAAAATGATGTCAGACTCAGGAAAACGTCCTTCACATGTCCTTATTAAAGAAGGCCGAGAGGAAGACGTCGTGTTCTGAGACACATAAGCTGGACGTCCGTCCCACCGCCGTCTTTTAAAGATCAGAGCATAAACTTCGTCTCCTCTGCAGACCAGTTTCTGCATCTGCAGATTTGCATGTATTCATCAGCACTTATGCGACCATTCTTTGAATCTGAATCTTTCTAGCAAGGGGAAAAGTGTTACTATTCCAAGGGCATATAAAAAAAATAATTCATTAAAACCACAGAAGTACTATTAAGAAACATGGCCAGAATTAAACGTACAGAAATACAATACTTCCAATAAATGTAACTATTCACTGTTTACTCACCTATGGCTTTCCACCATATTTGCCACATGTATGTTCACCGTCATTCTTCTAGTGCAATCAGAAAGACCACAAGTTTGGTACTACTCCTGAAATATCTGGCCACCACCTGACATTGAGTGCTACTTTGACCGTCTGCAACAATCACGTTTACATATGCTTTTAAAGTGGTGCTTCACATTGCTTTGAAAGAAATGTTTCTACAAAAAGACAACCAGAGAAACTCACCCATATATATCAAGCATGTCAGGGTAAAATTAGTAAAAATACTCATCTAAATTCAAGTCTCATCATTCAGTTTAGCCTATAGAGAGAACTGTATAAGGCACAAAATGATTCCAGATCAGTATTCATACTCTGAGAACTTTGATAAATATGGGCCATTGTGGGTAACCAGGACAGAACAAGCAAAACAAGGTTTCTGACACTTTTGTGTTTGTTTATTAATACACATCCAGTGCACATATCCACAACAGCTTCACATTATAATGTCTTTTGACTTTGTACTATATACGTATGTGAACCATATATATGCTTTTTACCATCGACGTCTTAAAGCTGTTAATGCCTACAGCGGGTTTGCAACAAATAACTACAATACTAATAACTGATTTGTGGTGTCTGAATACTTTTTTCTTTTATCTGATTATACTTATGAATGCCTACTTTTTGCTCATATTTGTAAGTGCAGAGTAAATGTGTGTGAATATTAAGTGGATACATGCACTGGAAGTCTATTAAAGAACAACAAGTGTGTCTGATTAGCTGTTCCTTCTCACTGTATATGCCAAAGCAGCACAAAGCTGTACCACAGTACTGAATTTCTAAGACAGTATACCAGTGTTTACATGACAACTTAAAACTCACATCTCCTGCTGTGTTAGGGTCAGGGTTCAATCAAACAACTGCCTCCGTCATGCATTGGTAGACTCTACAGTTGAGCCTGATGAAAAATGGTTATTTTTTAATATTAAATTATAGCCAGTATAGCAAGTTTTTATCCTGTTCTTAACTGCTTGCCTAACTTTGTTAACTCGATGAGCCAGCTATTTTAGTAAACTCCACAGATAGTGAGAGTGTGAATGGGCCAAAGAGCTAAATTTAACCTTTTTTGACAATACGATTTTTTTATTTCAAACAAAAAAAATGTGAACTGACTGGTCTAAGCCTCAAGTTCTTGTAAATCCGGGTTTAATGAAACCGTGCGTTACCAGAACCAGGACAGGACAGGATAAGAAAGAAGCTGGAGGAGACTGACAGGGCTGAAGGAGCAGGTCTGATCAGGTACAAATCCATACTCTGTGTATGTGAATGAAATTTTAGGGGCTCTAGTTTGTTTCACTTCAGTACCTTTGGTTGATCTGTGTCTCAGGGAAGTTGAACATTTAAATTATTAGATCTGTGTCTTATACTAACAATGAACAGACATATTTTAAAGATCACCTTCAGCTTCTAAACAATCATGATAAACAGACACTCTGGAGGACTTTTTTTATTTTACTTGGGTGGGCATGCCCCCAGATCCTGCCCTAAGTAAGGATCCATAAATCTGTAGTGATGACCATAAAAGGATTTTAAGACTATTCAGCCACTATGACTTGGTGTTTGTGGGATTTCCCTGTGTTTACAACAGTACAATTATACTAAACAATTTTATAAGAGAATTTTTTGGTAACAGATACAGTGGAACAGTCTAATGCTCACTATGTAAGTTAGAATATTAGCATTTTCTCACTATTATTTTTTAATCATGTTAAGCATAAATAATGATTTAGGAAATACAATTTCATTTATCTAAAGCTACTAAATCTCAGTGTAAA